AAAAAAACATCACTCATAAACAAATAGATCTGTACGGGTTAAAGATTTATTTTCCTAGACGTCCCCCTGGAAGACGTGCAGTCGGCTCGCAGACTTCAAACATTCTTTACCTTTCTCCATTTTTGGTTCTGCTTTGCGGCAAAAATCTGTTATTCAGCTCTAAGGGGTCTGTAGTGATGGCTGCTCATCTTGAGCAGAATAACAGGAACACTTCCCTCTTCCTGCAGGGTCATAGGTCAAGGGGAAGTTATACTTGCGTCTGATCCCAAATTCCATCATGTTTATTTTCTCAGGGTCTTTTTTTTCGACCAGACAGGACTGTAAAAGTGAGAAACAATACTTTTCCCCTCTTCTTCCTCCCCATCTTTTTTTTTTTTTTTTTTTTTTTTTTTTTTTTAAATCTGTCCAGTTGACATTTCATATCGGAGGACAAAAAGTCAGCAAAAACCACGAGTGTGTTCCTCCTCCTGGGTGGAAACGTTGTGAGACGAACCCATTGTTTGTTCGGAGCGCTAATGGCTCACACAGGAAGTAAAACTTGACAGCAGCGTGGAAAATGTCACATCGGGATGAGACAAGCTGGTACAAGCCTAAAACTCCTCCTACAGTTGTGCGCAAAACATGGTATCTTTTTAATTTATTTATTTTTTCAACTTTTTTTTATTTAAGACGGATTGCATGAGAACCATTCCAAGACAGAATTAGGCCAAAATCATTTATCAGGCTGCAGAAATGGAGGAAGAATTCACTTTAGGCATGAAGTGAAAGATGCTTCATTTTTGCCAAGGTTCTCTGGTATGTGTCGGTCAGGCCCTCTGGAATAACAGAGCAGATAGAAACTGTTCAAAACAGACAACAGGAGCTCTGATCTGGATTCAGCTCAGAGTCGATGTCCACTTCCTCATTCGCTGTGTGGCAGAATGCGCTTGGTGCCGGTTGATCCCTGTGTGCGTTTTTTTTTTTTTTTTTTTTTTCTTCGTCTTTAAACAACCGCAGCTTAAATTTGTCCGCTCGCGCAGCATGTAGCCTCCTGCGACTCGTGTTAAACAATCAGCGTTTTATCTTAATGTTGTCCCTCCTCCCCGCTGAACAAAACACTGGATGGGCCTCCGCTTCAAAGCCGGGCTGAGAGCAACGCTTGACCTGCTGGAGAAACGGGCCTCGGAGGTCAGAGGAGGGGCGGGACTTCCTGTCGTGAAATAAATTCTCCGAGATGAGGAACCCGCTCATCATCAAAGACCAGCATGGGCATTAGGGCTAGGGTTAGGGTTAGGTGCCACTGAAATATGCTGCATGAGACACAAGCTGTGATTCACTAATTGTCCAACTGGTCTGAGTCAACTTCGGATGACTGGAAACACTTGAGGTTGTAAAACATATTGCAACACAGTTTGTGGATGGGCTGGGAGACATCTGAACATTTCATTCTTTCCTCTGACGGTTCACCTTGGCTTTGGAAATTAATTTCAAGTGGATCAAAAATTTTGTTTTCCAGAACTAGATGGCCAACAGTTTCATTTTTATGAAAGCCTTCCTCAACTGATTGGTACTATTGGGTAAAAGAAAACGACTTAAAATGTTATAAGCTCATTAACATAAAAAAAAACATAATTTATTCTGCTGGTCAGGGAGAATCCCGTCAATTCGCACACATTTAGATCTGGACTTGGACTGAGCCGCTCGTTTGCAGCAATGTGCTTTGAAACAAACTGCAGTTGCATCGGATAAAGAAAACAACCAACTGGAATACTGAGATAAATTGAGACCTTTACCCACATTTTGCCCACTCCAGTATGTCTTTTCCTTCGTTGTCTCAACCCCACCACTCTTTGTGAGCTTTTGAATCTGCTATAAGAATAATAAAAGCCTTCCAACCAGCTAAAATATTACTGGTATGCAGGAATTTTGTCCATGCCACTTAAAATCAGATGACAAATGACCTGTGCAGTGGTCATATTGCAACCTTCCACTGGACAATGAATCTCTGCCTCATCTTTTTTTATTTTTGCAGCCTCTGACTAGATTTCTTCTGGGTTTTTCTCTTTTAAGGTTTAATAATTTCCCCAAAAAATGCTGATTAAAGCTCCCCACAGCACCATGCTGCCACTGTTTGGCATCGATCAGGTCTAATATACACATCGTCAATGTAATTTTTTAAATTTGTGCCCCATACTTGATTTGTGGCAAACTGTATTTTATTTTTGCTAGCGTAAACTTTTCAATTTTACATTTGCAATAAAAAAGAAAGCAAGTGTCACATAAAACCCCTCAGAAATGATCGAAGGTGTGTGAGCACTGTTGCAAAACGCAGGAGTGGTGCTAAAACAAATTCAGAAATATTCTGGTGCAGAATAGTGAGGTTTGTTTGTCCTTGCAGCATCGTCAGCAGGCATTTACATAAAAACAACACACACAAACAAGTGTACGTAAAAGTTCTCTTTAAGGCCATTTTAAAATCGTTCCTCTGGAGGAAACTATGCAACTTCTCATTCCTCTCAGTAATCAGCTGAGCACCAGATCTCTACGTGAGATAACTGCTGTGACTTTACGTGCGAGCCGTTTGCTTCTCCGCCTTTGTTTTTGATGGATTATTGTCTTTCTGCTGGGCGAACTGAAGGTGCGCTCAACGAGGAAGCGAAGAAAGTGCTGTCTTTGCGGGGAACACTTGTGGTGCGTGTCAGTGACTACGCAGCTCCCAGCCTGACACATGAACTCCATTCAATCCCCCCCGGTTGTTTCTGACTTCAGCAGAAAGTTCTTGAAAACAGGAAAGCTATTTAGAGGCTGTCAGTCAGATAAAACTGTTGTCCTCCTCTGATTTAAGAGACTGTTTTATGCCATCTTTTGTTTGCTCTGAGGGGAAGTTTTGAGCCCAGCGTTTCCTGACCGTCCTCAACAAAAGCTTTTTCTCATTACGGCCTTATAAATGCACGCCTCTGTTGTTCGAGTCGGCAAACTTCAGCCCTTTTTTATTTTCCTTTTGTCTGCCAGGAGTGTGTGTGAGCACGTCAGCACATCTTCGGAGGCATGTTGAATGTGTGTTTTCCCCCTCCGCTGCTTGGCTTCCCAGGCCCTTTACAGTGTGAACGCTGCCCCCGCTGTCAGAGGTCGCCTCTGCAGCGTCCGGCCGGTTTCCACGGCCGCCGGTGTCTCTTGTTTTTTTTTTTTTTGTTGAAGAGAAAATGCAACCTGCAGGGATAAAGCTGTTGCCTCTGACAAATTGATGCTCTTGGGAGAGCGGGGTCTTCTTTCTGAACCTGAAATATGGAGTGTGTGTTTAGCTGTTTCCTGAGCAGCAGCTCTCTGTGTGTTTGAACTCTTCTTACCGGGACTTTAGAAACATTGCAGACCCACATTCTGGGCCTGCTTTGGCTCCCAACTGGACACCAGTTTATTGGCATCAATGCAAACCAAGGTTTTGAAATGGTTTAGGACCTTAAAAGTTCAACAAAACCTGCGATTCTGTTTCTGTAGAAACGCTGTGCTCCGTTAAAGATTACATTTGCTTTTGACTTTTTGTCACTTTTGTGTTTCAGAAAAAAAAAATGATAGAAGATGACGTCAATTATTTTTCAAAATCACAGTGTTAGTGTTTACTTCACCGGCGACTCCCAGGCCTGATCATCACTATATCAGGTTGGAAGCGGCTGCAAAGTTTGCTTTCTAAGCCTTTGTGACTCTAGATCCTCAGATCAATGCAGCGTCTGGATTCAACAGTAATAACTTGGAAAAAAGCTCCAAGGCCAAAACCACAGCTGACAAAAATAATAATAAAAAAACCCACATTTGCTCAAACTCACCTTGACAATCCTCAAAACTTTTGGGAAAATGTTCTCTGGACAGGTGAGAGGAAATTCAACTTTTTTTTGCTGTTATATCTGATAAAACTAGCAGGATTTTCTAAAAAGATAAGCTCACACACACTCCAACACGGCGGTGGTGGTATGATGGGCTTTGGAAGACACGCTGAATAATTATCTAAAATGCACCATCAAGTCCAAGTCAATTCAAAGGTTTTACAGTGACCTAGTCAAAGCTCAGATTAGAAATTAATTTTTAAAAATGTGGTTTGACAATAAACTACATTAAGAGCGACAAAAATCAGGGAAGAGTTTCTCCACAGCAACGCAAAAAAAACTAATTGCGAGTAATTGTGAATCCTTGATGGCAATTTTTGGGCAGCAAAAACAGTTTGAGGGTGAAATTATTTTTGACTTTTGGCAAAATAAAGTCTGTAGAAATCCCTACAACGTCTGCTCTGACTGTCGTTTGTATTTCACCATAACGTATTAAAGCAATACGGCCATATTGTCAGAATGATCACATTTTACTGCTGATGACTCCAGACTCATCGGCACGTTTCTGAAGTGACTCGAATGTTTCCACTGAACGCTGACTCAGCACGTTATTGTGATTATCGTTGGATTCTCTATGTAAAAGCAGGAGGCGTACGTCACGCTGTCGCCGTGTCAGGCTGTAAATATGTTGCCAAGAATCCACGCAGCGCTGCTTGCGTTGCATCGGTATCGTTTTGTGAAGAAAACCTTAATGATGTCCGTTTTAAATTAGATTTTCTGTTTTTGTTTTACTTTGCGTCATGTTTTCTCTCAGCTGCTGAATTTATCAAAAGAAATTAAATAAATTAGAAGTCATAATTTGTATAAAGCTTGAACAAAATACTGGATTAATTTTCAATAATAATAAAGGAAAGCTTTCTGTTCTTTTTTTTAAGTCAAACTTTCTAAAGAAGGCTGAACTTAGTTTTATTTTTTATTTCTTATTTTTTTCAAACATTGTTAGACATTTTAATCACATCTACAAAGAGACAGATTGTATTTCTAGATATTAAAGTTCTTTCCTAGATAATTTCACATTTCACTGTAGGACCAACACTGATGTTCAGGCATTTCTTCTCCTACCCAAACATTTTAAAAGGGGAGGAAAAAAAAAAAAAACAAGAAATTGCCTTCATGACTAAATGACTTTTCCTGCGTCTCCAGCGGCTCTGCCTTCAGCCATCCTCACGCTGAGGTTCAAACCCTATCAGAGAGGAATCCACTGCGACGACGAGAGCATCAACTATCCCTACAGGAAAGACACCATCTCCCATGGAACCATGGCCGCCGTCACCATCACCTGCTCTATGGTCATTGTAAGTCGTGTTGTTGAGCTCACGGTTGCGACGTGGCACGAAGGTCGTCGTTTGTTGTTGTTTTAACGTTTTTCCAAACGGTTTTTCTCGCTGCAGATCACCACCGGCGAGGCCTACCTGGTGCACACGAAACGCCTGCGTTCAAACTCCACGTTCAACCAGTACCTCTCGGCGCTCTACAAGGTGGTCGGCACGTTCCTGTTTGGCGCGGCGGTCAGCCAGTCACTGACCGATTTGGCGAAGTTCACCATCGGCCGCCCCCGTCCAAACTTCCTGGCCGTGTGCGCGCCGGTGTCCTGTAAGGGATATGTGCTGGATATCAACTGCACAGGCAGCCTGAAAAATCAGACGGAGTCCAGGTGAGGGGAAATGTGTCGCTCGGCGTCCTCAGAGCGTCACGATGCTAAAGCTGCACACAGAGGGAAGGATTTATTCCTCCTTGGAGGAATAAATATGAGTGTCTTAAATTATTCCTCAACCAAAACGACCTTTTTTTTTTATTCCCTTTTTTCTCCCTCAGTGTTATTAAAAAGTTTGAATATTGTGAATTAAAAAAAAAACAAGTACAATCTCCCAATGGAATGATTTAGTTGAATCTTTGTTTTAATTTTTTTTTCTCTTTCTCTCTCTCCTCAGGCTGTCGTTTTACTCCGGTCACTCGTCCTTTGGGATGTACTGCATGCTCTTCCTGTCGGTGAGTGACCCTGTGTGACCTTTTGTCCAGATGTGAAAAGATTTGTTTGGTGGAAAGCCCAGAAATGAGCCACAACAGGAGGAGACTGTCGAGACACGGACGTCTCCGGTCTGAAAACACCATTGTTGTCATTTTTCATATTTTACTGTAGGAGGAAAGCAAACAGATCTAATAATAACTCTTAGGACGGAGATGGATTTCCAAATAAAAATCTCCAACAGTGTCATTTGGTCAGATTTAAGTGTGTGTGTGCAGCTCTACGTCCAGGCCAGGATGCAGGGGAAGTGGACGAGGCTGGTCCGGCCCACCATCCAGTTCTTCCTGGTGGCGTTTGCTCTCTACGTTGGATACACGCGCGTCTCCGATTACAAACACCACTGGAGTGACGTCCTGGTGGGGCTGCTGCAGGGCGCGCTCATCGCTGTGCTCACGGTGAGGCGGCTAACATTAGCATCTGTCAGATGCTAATGCAGCAAGAGTCACTTAAAATATCCAACAACAGCGTCATAAGTTTGCAGCTTTATTCTGTTGTGCCATAATCTTTACAGTTTCAGATCATGTATTTAAAGTTGCAGTTTAAAAAAAATAATAAATTTTAAACTGTTACTCTGGCATTTGATAGTAAATCCGCAGAAAAAAATCGAGCTCTTCTTTCAGCACCAACTAGAAACAAACAATCAGAGTTGACTTAAAACTCTCAAGATGCTCTTGATTGGTTGTTTTTGATTGGTTGTTTTTGATTGGTTGTTTTTGACTGGGAGCGTTTCTTCAGACGGGCTCAGGAGGAGCTTCATCTTTTCACAAATGATCTGTTTCATATTCTACTGTCAGAGTATGTTTTAAAAAAAACAAACTTTTTTTTATATACATATATATAAAATGTTAATTTTGCAACTTTAACTTCAAAATGTGATTTAAATGTGAACTTCAGACTTAGTTTTATGTCCTGCCTCTTTAAACGTGTCCATTTTTTCTCCCTGTCCTGTCGGATGTGTTCCTTCATCATCACGATGATGTGGCTGGTTGACCTTTCATGACCTCTGGAAACATTTAAGTATCTTCAAACTGAGACGTTCATTAATTAACAAACCTCTGAGGCCCCCACATCTCAGCTGCACTGGACTGTAGTTATGTGCAGCAGATTAAAGAGAACTAAATACGAACGCTTGTCTCTCTTCTGGTTCGCTTGTAAAAGCTTAAATGTGAGACATTTGAAGTGGACGTTAAATGGCAGATTCAGCTTTTACACGCACATTACTTCCAGAGACGGCCTTTCTGCTTCCTGCGTTTTAAACGTACTCTCCCCGCTCTCAGGTTCGATACGTGTCGGATTTCTTCAAGCAGCGGCCGCCGCCGTGCGCGCAGGCGGACGACCCGGCGGAGGAGCAACTCGAGTGCAAGCCGAACCCGCAACCTTTGGACTCGCAGCACGGAAACCACTACAGCCACCCCGGACTGGCGTGAGCCGCAGACGAGCGCCGGCGGCAGCCGCTCCGTTGTCCACAGAACTGTGTTTTAAAAGCACGCATAGCCCACATAGAAAACTTTGACAGCTATTTTATAACTCTGACAAGTATGATTCCCCAAAACCTGTTGGAACAGAAACTTTATGACCGGGTGCGTTTTTGTGGGTGGGTGTGTTCGCTGCAGAAAGATGTGGCCGATCGCGTGTGTGTGTGTGTGTGTGTGTGTGTGTGTGTGTGTGTGTGTGTGTGTGTGTGTGTGTGTGTGTGTGTGTGGGTGTGTGTGTGTGTGTGTGTGTGTTGGTATGTGCACCAGCGTAGAATAATTATATTTTATATCGTCTCTTAATCACTCGGCTTTTCAAATTGTGCCAAATTAAAAGTGACAGTTTTAAACAAATGGGCAAGAGAACGTTCCTCTTCTTCGGTCAAATAACAAACCTTTGCCGCGTTGTCGCAGTCCGGATCGGTTTTTTATTCACTGCAGCTGAATGTATCTGCACATCCCTGCCGTTTTTATTTCCTTATGCATGTATTTTTATCCTACTTGGAGGCAGGTGCATGTGTTCAGCCATGTTCTCCTCTTTATTGCTGTTGTATGCAATGAATATATCATTTCAAGATTAACATGTTTTCCATGTCACAGTGGCAGTTCCTGCTTTGATGGCACGTTGATTTAATAGGTTAAGTTTTATATATTTTAAAGAATCTGTCGACAGAATAATTATCTCTAGGTTTTCACTAGTGTATATATATTTTTTGATTTTTGTCTCGTGCCAAATGGCTCTAAAGCCAAAAGGCAAGAAAAACAAATGGAATAAAGATTTCATACATTTCAGGTATTTTTTTTATATATATATATTTTTTTTTGGAAGAAATACTTTTGCTTGGTTAAAATCGGGCCAGTTTTCAAATGGCTGAGCATTTAAACAGATTAAAAAACTAGAATTAAGTCCAACTTGAATCAGTAGGTGGCAAAAATATAACTCTGGAAAAAGTTAGAGAGACCACTAGTCAGTTTTTGCTCTTCATAGGTTTACGTTTGAGTAAAATGAACATTGTTCTTTTATTCTATGAACTTTTGACAACAAGTCTATGAAATTACAAGCAAAAATATTAGCATTTATTTTTGTGCATTTATCTGCACAAAATGAGAAAGAAAACATTAAAACCGATGTTTCAACTCAGGAAGAGTTCAGAAATGAATATTTGGTGGAATAACCAGGAGGTTTTCAATCAGGTTCAGTGCAGTGGGCTCTAAATTATTTCCAGAGCTGCATGTAGCGAAGCCCCCATCAAAAACCACTAAACATTTACAATATTTTATTTCCCGTTGTGTTTTACGTCACATAATACTATTATCCATATTGGCTGTAATTCCCGCCCTGTGTCCCACTTTGACCAGGAAGAAGAAAGAAATTGCATAACAGTGACTCGCACTGAGAAAATGCTTTAGCTGCTGTTCTCCGTTCAGAACCTGCTCAGACTGGTTTCATGTCTGGACCTGCTGCTAACAGTTCAGATTCCTGACACTGAGCGGACCGGGCCCGCCGAGCCGCATCACACGTAGCAGAACAAAAGGCTATGAATAATGCTTTTATTTCTCCTTTTGATGAGCGTAATCCTCATCTGTAAGGTGGATTATTTTTACGGAAGCACGACGGACACGCTCTATTTACGCCACAGTCGATGCAAACCAGTTTAAATGGTTTCCACTGAACAAGCGCAGTGGAACTGTGGAATGGGCGAGGCACTAACTTTATTTAAATCATTTTATAATAGCCAAAGCGGTCTTAAAGTCCAAATTGAGACTTAAAAGGAAAAACAGAAAGAAAATGTGTTTCTCAAACTTCACACCTTGGTCCAACACTGAAAGGATAAAAGTTTTTTTCTTACAATAATCAATTATTTTGGTTTTTCGTTCCAACGAAGTTCAAACCCAACAAGGTAATGTTTTTTTTTCTTTTGTTTGCAAACAAAATAAATGCATTGAAAATTTCCAACTCTCTTAAGCTGTTTTTTTTTACATTATTGTTGGGGAATTTGTCCACAATATACAAGCAGGAGTAGATTTGAAAATAGAGTTGAACACAAGTGTGAAAGTCACACTGAACATACTGTAGACAATAAAAAAGTGCCAGGATAGAAAACTGATTATTATTTCATGTTTTCAGAATATTTGGGTGTGAAAACAAGTATATTTTCCTTTTTTTTATGCCTGTGTGGATCACGAGTCTTAAATAAATCAAATGTATCTTCATTAAAACCAATGTTTTATACATGTTTCACAACAAGCTAAGAGCCCAAATATTAAACTGTGTCAAATAATTTCTTACTGTCAGATTCTAAACTGAGACTGAATTTGAATTTTGTGAACATATTTAGGCGACGCAACCAACTTTTCTTTCAATTTACTGTCAAATAAAACTCACTAGAGCCCAAACACCCTCTAAAATGAAAAAGAAAAACTTGTTTTATGTAATTTTGGCCAATTTTGTTTGTTTTAGGAAACATATCCAATATAGGTTGAATTTTCATTCACACGGAAAAATAAAAACCTTGTAATCAGGTGCATTTTCAGCAGAGGTCTGTCCTTTACAATCATTGACGTAAGAAAGGAAGCATGGAAAGAAGAGACAAAAGCAAGGAATATTTACACGAAACATAAGATGTGACAAAAGGAAAATCAGAACAAAGGACTGTAAGAAGAGAGGACACAAGGAAGGTTACAAAAGCTGAAAGAACAGAGAAATTTAATTCAAAAAGCAAAATCAAATGCAACTCATCAGCTGAAGATGGTGACGCCAAGGCAGAAATGATCTGCAGCAGTCAGTCTACCAACAAGTCCAAAGCGGCCTCTGACTGAAGACTAACAGCTGCCAGCAGAGATAACACACAGTATCGCATCCTGAGTGACACCATCAGGCGTCGGCGAGCTCTGCTAACCCGCCTCATTTGCTTTTGCCACTCCTTACATTTCTGTCTGACTGCATGGTTAGTCTATGGACCCAGCAGAGTCTGGAAAATGATCCTTCCTGCTTGTGGTTGAAAGAACGAACGATGAGGAAGCAATGACTCCGGAAAACATTTCTTTTAGATAAAACAGATTTCGACACGATAACTTAGAAATCAATGCCGTAACTTTACAGTCAGGAGCTTTTCAAGGGGTTTACCTTCCTGCATCAGACAATTAACGACAAACGTAAACACTCTTAATCACATCTTTTATTTGTAAGGCACCAGAGAAGCTTCCTTACTGCTAAAAGGTTGATTCATTCTTAAGTACAAGCTGCTTGCTTACATCATTTTTTTTTTCTGTCAAGAGTATTTTGAAAATGTGTTTCTTGACACATTTAAACAGGGTTTTTTTTTTTTGTTTGCACAGAAAAAGAAAGAAACATGTAGAAAACTAGAATTAATGTTACAAGACAATGAGAAAGAAATTAAACAAAAAAACCAAAACATGTTATACAACATTGTGCCTCTATGCATGTAATGCGCGCGCACACATACGACAACCAAGGTATTTTTATGATATACACACACATTAAAAAGCAGCTTTGAAACATACAAAAATGCTTTAAAAAATATGTATATTGATATATCCGTGCGTATACAAATTGGCCCTTCACAGCAAAACAAACGCACAAACTATTCACATGTCTGAGTTTTGCCAAAACAGGGGGTTTTAGGAGAGCGAGCTCGTTTATGTGTCAAAGTTCAATCTCACCAAGAGACTATCATTTTTTTATTTTATCTTCTCCAGCAGCCAGAAAAAAAGCAGAACAGGGCTCATACAAATCTTAAGTGCTTCAAATTAAGATAAAGAGGGTAAAGTTTTTAATGCTGATCTCAGGTGTTTATGCAATTCGAGTAAAAGGAAGCAGGAAATGCAGATCAGAGGGAGGGAAGAAAAAAAAATCTTTTTCCTTGCTTCATCCTGGAATAAAGAGCAATGCTGCCCTCTGCTGTCTAAAGAGAACATTAAAGTCCCACCATGTTGCTATTTGAAGAAATTCAAAACTATCAGACACTCCTAATAATTACAAATGGCTTTCAAATTAGAATTATGTATATTAAAAAAAAAAGAGAGAGAGAGAAAAAAAAGCACTAAATCAACCTGATCCAATGAAAATGTAACCTCTCGTGAATTAAGTGACGAATCGAGACACATTTTTCTGGTCATGTTTCACCAGCCACACCCCAACGTGATTATTGCCACACCTGTAGGATAAAGAAACGCTTCAACAGATTCTGTTTACCAACACAGGTGGGCGTAAACATCTCAAACAGCAACTTCAAGCCCCAAACTATAGAAAAACAATAAAACATCCAATCAGGAAAGGGTTACAAGATCATTCCTAAGATTTTAGAGCGAAGTTAAAAACTCAGGCGTCGCAACACCTGACAGAAAAAAAAAGAAAATAATAATGAGCTCTCATAGGAACAGGTTGGCTTAAATAGCTTTTTCCCGCCTTAATAAACGAAATTAGTATAAATCAAACATTTACTCAGCTCGTCTTTCACCGATATTAAACCTGCTCTGATGACTTGAAGCATTTAAATGAGACGAAGTAGAAACATCCGATCCAACATGCCGGCAGGCAGCGCGGTTCTCTGTGCACAGAATTGATGCGACATGCACACAGCTCACGCAAAGTCTGGCAAGGAAGGATTCTGAGTCCAAAAAGAGTAAAAAAAAAAAAAAAACTAATGAGAGCATTCTGGTGTCTGAGCTTCACGTCTGCATTCGACGGCGACAGAGAGAGAAAAGAAAGTAATTTATCACCTTTTCTTTCCCTACAACGTTGCAGTCAGTGAATCTGATGTAAGGTTTGGTTGGGTAAGGAGCCGTTCCTGCTGTGCACTGGAGGAAGGTTATGTTTTTGATTAGAAAGCTGAAATTCACCTAACAGCTCATGATTTGCTGGAAGCTTCGTCTCATGACGGATTCATCGGGAGCGAACAAACCAGAAAAACTCATTTTGGAGGAAAAGAGACCCGACGATGACAAGAGAAAAAGAAAGAAAAAACTACACACTCTTCAGTCTGGTCCTAAAAATACGATGTTAACCTTTTCTCTCCAGAGGAGCAGCTCAGTGAAATAAAAGCTTTCTGTCTAATGTGATCGATTTTGCTCATCTGGGACAAGCAATCAGCTCCAGTCAGACGTTTGTCTTTCAAAGTCGTATCAAACAGACGGGAGTTTTATTTGGAATAAACTGACGGGAAGCTTTAGTTTCACTAACATGGAGGAGAATAAAAAACCCAAATGATTTTAAATCTGCTTTCTGTCGCTGCCAGACTAGCAGGAAGCAAGTGAAGAAAGTTCTCACTCAGCCCTCTCTCCAAAAAGGAACAAACATTTATATTTGTTAGGCCTAATAAACTGATTTACACACAAAGAAACTATTGAAAGTCTGAGGTCTGAGCTGAGTCTATTACCACTAAATGAAACAGACGTAACCTCTCGGGTTTTAAGCGTTTCAGGACCCAAACGGTTCAGCTGCGTCCTCTCTGTGGTTTCTCCTCTACAACGCGCAGCATTCAGACCTTCATGGACCCCATTTACAGTCTGTTTTCCCGTTTCTTTTTAAACACTAACACCCCTTCCCCACCCCCCACACGCACCGCCTCCCCCCCGGCCCTGTGACCTCGGCGTGCCTTCGCTAATCGGACTTGTCGCCGTCCTCTCCTCTGGGCGCCCTCTCCGCGGCGTCCCTGGCCTTGTCCTCCTTGGCCGCCTGCGGCTGGCTGTGGGAGTAGTTGGCCAGGATGGAGGAGAGGGAGAGCAGGCCTGAGCTGGAGGAGACGGCAGGCAGGGAGGGCGGGGTGAGGCCCAGGGGCAGCGGGGCCACAGGCAGGGTCAGGCCCTGCAGCTGGGACAGGTGCTGCACCTGCAGCTGTTGCTGCAAACGCAAAGGGAAACGATTAGCAGAGCCCGCGATTCGTCGTTCGGTGTTTACAAGGCGGCGTTTGGGGTTTCAACCATCAGTCAGCGCTTGGAAAAGGAGGGAGACACAGCGCCCTCTGCAGTCAAAACAAACAATCAAAACAAACCCAGCTTTCATTGCTGCCTCATCTTAAACTTTAAATTAATACGCAACAGGACTATGGAAAATAAATAAATAAGTAAATTCTGAGGAAAAAAAAAAAGTCGGATTTTTTTTCAGCAGCCCCAATCCTTGTCTGTAACTCAAAGACATTTATATGCTTACATAGCAAGATGAAGAAATAAATGCTTTAAATAAGAACGTCTGGAGAGATCAACAATCAGGTGGATGGAATGACAGCAGATCGTCTCCGTCTGTCAGACCGAGGCTGGACGGACAGCAGGGTCAAACGAGGCATGAACAGTCATGAGGTTTGCTCACCCGTATGATGGAGTTCATCTCAGGAGGCGTGACCTGCTTGGCCCTCTCTATCGCACCCATGACTTGCTGTTGGTGCTGAAACGGTGAGATTTCATTGTCGTATGAATGGATGCAGGTGATTTGAAAACAACTTAATGTTCAAAAATGGAGGAAAATAAAAACAATTCTGCTTTTTCTGCTATTTATGTTCTTCTGTCGATTACAGAATTAAAACTTTTGAAATAGAACAACAATAACAGCAACTTGCAAAAATATTAAGACCTTTTTTTTTCTCTCTTTTTGCTACGTTACAATCTGGTGGTGGCAGTATTATGCTGTGGGGATGCTTTCATTCAGCGGAAATTTAATTTTCAGTTCCGACCAACATCATCCCTCCGAAACCCAGACTCTGTCATTCAGCCGTGACTTTGGCTCTGTAAGTAAAAACTCTAAACCACTGCAGGACGGAGTCTAATTCAGACAAGATGGCGTCCTCACCTCCTGGGACAGGTAGGGCAGCACCTGAGCGCAGATCCCATTCAGTCTTTTGACTATTTCAGCCTGCAAAGAAAACAAATTTAACCAGGAACCTCCTGACTGCCAAGCCTGAATTTTGACATGAGGAGGATTTCTAATAAAATACTCACCTGTTTGTGCATTTCAATGTTGAGCCCATAGGACATTTCATAATACTGCAACAAAATGTGACAAAGACAAGAATGATAAGCAACTAAAGTCCATTTCTCCAAACATAAAAGTGAAAAATAAAGCCTCACAATCAGCTACAGGTCAGTGATTGTGTGAAATGTAACTAGTAGGAGCCGGTTCTGTCGCCAGGATGACTTTATCTCAGCGACGCTCACCATGATGTAGTGGCGCTGCATCTCCGACTTCTCAGAGGCCAGCTTATCACACTCCAACTTCAAACTGGATGGGAAAATCAGAGAAGGTTTAAACAACGGAGATCAGCTCCAGGCGATAAACACGACGCCCTGCAGTTCTGTTTTAATTAGCATTTTAATTATTATTTTTAAAGATATTTGTGAAAGATCGGAACAACAATAAAATAACTATCAAAAACAATATTAGTTATTATTTTGATTTCGTTAAAAATGCAAATTTTTTTCAGATGATTTTCTATTAATCAAAATATTCATACATCCAGTTAGAATTAAAACCTCTGAACCTAAATCTACCAGGAATATATTGAATTTTCTGTGTAACTAGTGAATAAAAAATATATGAAGGCGTGACGAGATACTGAAATGAAAAGCAGCTAACAATTATTCTAACAATTATTCTATCAATTATTCCGACAATTAGGCAAAGAAAATTGGAAAATTGTGCAGATTTTTAATTTGAGAGCTTTTTTTATGCGTTAGAAATGCACAAATAGATGCAAATAAACAAGAAACAAACATTTTTTGCAACAAAGCATTCAGTTAGTGCAGGTTTGATCACTCGTAGCAAAAGTTGCAGCTGAACAAATATTTCGAACAACATGTGAAAAGCTCAACGCTTTCTGCTTGACTCAACATCAACACAGCCTTGGGATGATCTGTTGATTAGTTTTTTCAATTACCCAGCTAATAATTGGATCAAAGATACCAAAGAGTTGTTTTTTTTCTTTTTTACATAACTTGAACCAGGTGAAGCAAGGCCACTTGAGGAGGGTTGGGTACAAGATACAGTATTTACAGAAAAAGGCTTTTTTGTATATATTTGTGTACCTTTTTAGCTAAATAACTGCTCTGAGCATTTTGTTCTTTCAGTCAGTTGCCTTTTTGAAAGTCTGTATAACCTAGATAACAATGATGATCATTTTAGTAATGGATTAATCATTTCACCCCTGTATTTCACGGAGCTAAAAACGCGTCTGTACCTGTGATACTGTGCTTGGAGGAACTGGAACTCATCCTTGATTCGGTCACAGGAGTCGGAAGTGGTGAACTTCAGAGGTTGGCCGGACTGGGATGACGCCTTGAGGAAAACGGAACAAGAAACACGCGTCAGGTTTAGAAAAGTAGAGGAAATAAACCCCCTTGCATCTGAAAAGGCTGCTCCAATTCACAGCCTTTTGATTTCCAATTTGACAAGTGAGGCCAGCACGGAGAAGAGATAGACACGTCGCCTGCAGATAAGCGGGTTGTGTGTGTTTGTTAATCAAAGTGTGGTTGAGTTTGTTTAGAAACAGCAGCTTGACCTCTGAGATTAACTGTGTGAGGTTGAACTAGGTTCAGTCTAAACTCCAGCTTCATTTTGGATTGAAGTGCGTCAGATTTATAGCGCACAGCTAAAGCACATCACCCATCGACATGAAACATCTGTCGGCCCAGAAACACCCCTCACCCTCGCCCTCTTCCTTTTGAGGAGCGCACAGCGCGTCGATGAGAGGAAGCGTGTTTACATAAGGCCGAGCGCAGCAGAGCGGACAATATGCGCCAAGTATTTAGAAGCTGCATTAGAAGTCTGGTTATAAACTGACAACATTTAAACCATCCCGCAAAGCTGTAATCCAGGGTTTATCTGGATCCCTAAACCTCATTATTCTCTAAACAAGTGGCACCAGGGCAAGAGGTTTCCAGCTGGATTATGGGATTGAAACAGGAGGAAGGAAACATTCGGTTAAACGGAGGTCAACGCTCTTCGTAGCGCCAACATCAATCAGAGCAGAAATAGCAGGATGAGGGTTGGTTCTTAAAGTCAAAAATGAATTGTAGTAACATTTGGGGTTGATACACCAGATATATTGCCAGTTTTTGTTTGTTTGTTGTTTTTTTGCGGATTTTATTAGATTAGGAAGTAACTTTTGTTGCTCTGGAGACAAAGGGTGACCACACGGTTCAAGCAGAGGTGAGTTTATTACCCGATTTGGTCCGTCTGAAGAAAAACTAAGGATTTTCATTACGACTCCATGCTGGGTCTTCATTGATAATAACTTGTTAAACTTCAAAACCGAGAATGCATGTGCGACTGTATTGAAATAGCTCTTTTTGTAAAAACATCAACTGAATTTAACTGAAGAGGGCGATTGCGATAAACTGAGGTTTTAAACATTTTGTGTCGCTTCTACAACTTCCATCAAAACATCCCTTCAATTAAAAACCAGGGTCCAATGTCATTGGTTGACGAATGAATCAACAGAAATGGAAAATAACTGGACAAATGTATGGGTTATGGACAGATGGACAAACGTCCAAATGGTCACATCGTACAGACAAATTGATCATGTCTGTACGATGGACATGAATGGACAAAAAGTGGACCGATGGACAATGAATCCTAGGACAGAAAAACAGATAAGAAAGACGGACAAACACAGACGGGTAGAAAGATGGACAAAAAAAAAACAAAACATGAACAAATATGCTCCCTCAAAAACTATCAAATAATTCAGTCTACATTAGTCCAATAAATATAATATTATAATATTCAGACATTTTGGCAATGGTAGGATTAGTTTTTGATTTTAAATAAAAACTGTTTGTCTTGTAAGTCATGTGAAAACATGGTATTTTTATTCAGCTTTACTGAATACACATTAAATTTCACTATAAATAAATCTGAAAGAAAAAGATGGCCTCTAGACATATTTATTTGATAATAAATTGAAAATAAGTCAATAAAAAGGTCAGAAACTACAGATTGGAGTTAGCAGCTGTGACTTTTGGTTTTGGTTTCCAAAAGGTTATTGGGACATAACACAAACATCTTACTGCAAGACTCAATGACCAACGATCCATGTTCTCTAACCCAAAAGCCTCAATATCTGACCGGTCAAATGTTGGGAAATGTGACGTTTTTTCTTCCAATGTCTGTAGACATTCAGTTTACACTAATAACATCATGGTATGCTTTAATGTGAAAGCATGGCAACTTTTTAATTCCTTCATCCCCTTCTGGACTCTCTAATTTTAGTCCTTAAAAACGCAGAATTGGTCAAAAATAGTCAGACCTCAAAGAAGCAAACTGGTTTCAGTCAGGGGAAACAAAAAGGGAGCAAGAGTTACATCTTGAAATTCACCCAAAGATATGCAAAACTAGCTTTAAATACCCCCGATTATAATAAACACATAGCTCTTATCTCGCTTGTTGTTTTGCATGTGTTTACTACAGAAAGCTAGTTTAGATGTAATGCTGCAGCTAATGATTTTTGTGGGGGTGGTGGAGGGTTTGCCATCCATATAGATGTATGTTTTTGTTTGTCTGTTTTCACAATTGACTCTGAGCAAAAACAGAAGATATGCATTTATGGCAAACAGACTAATGCTAATAATATTTAGTGTCACAGAAGGGAAATGTCATAAAACGTGTGCACTCAAATGCTACAAAAAATATGTAGTTTGGGATATTTGTTGTGCATTTGTGTTATATTAACAGTGAAGCTCCATTATTACAGACTTGAACTGGACAGGACATTCATTTCTTTCAGCTGTGTTAGCTGTGTTTAGGAAGGCTAGCTAATGGCAAACACTTAGCAGCTTCAAATAAAAAGGCAAATACACTTCTCAGGTATAAACTGCGGTGTTTTAAGTTTTAAACCTGCTCTAACTAGTCGGTGCAGACGCCCTGAGGAGACGGGCAGAGGTCTGGCTTTGTGGCAGCCCAGCTGACAGCGACCTGCAGCGCTCATGTTATCAGTTTGTCGGCTGCTAGCTAACGTTAGCTCGGCTTTGCTCCGTTCCCACCCCGGGACAAGTTCACCCGGGCTAACTTTACTCACCGAGTGCCTGGATTGAGGAAACATCATGTCAGCGGAGCGTTTCGCAGCGTTTCCCTGGTCTCACCGAAACTACAAGGCCAGCTGGCTAAGCTAGCTCGTCTCCAGATATTATTAAATTAGCGGAGAGGCTGTTGGCACGTCGTACTCTGTCATCCTTTAAAATAACATCAGCTAACGTCAAAGCGGCGGGAGGAAAGGAGCGTCTTCTGCTCTTTAGCAGGTTGCTAACTCGGTCTGAGGACAAGAAAAGGCTGTTTCAAGGCAACATCAGGTATTAATGCTACGCCTCCCCGGGGAAAACCCTGGATGTTGACACACGAACCCCCCCCCCTCCACCCGACCGCTTTGAAGGCAGGAACAGCATCACCCGGAACACAAACTGAGCAGCGGTGGAGCGGGCGCCCCGTGTGACCACGCGCTGTATTAAACATCGGAGAGCGCGAGCTGCACTGGGCCAGGGCCGCAGACAGAACCGGTCCATCACAGGGGCCCAGGACCCACTTAAAATTAATTAATTAAATAATAAAAAAAATTATACATATATAAATAAATAAATAAATAAATTATATATATATATATATATATATATATATATATATATATATATATATATATATATATATATATATATATATATATATATATATATATATATATATATATATATATACATATATATATATATATAGCTTTCATACTAATGTAAAAAAACAATAAAATGTTAAATGTGTTCTTATTTTAGATTTAGTAAACTGATGGCAGTGACATAAGCTCTTTATCCCTTTCATGCCTCATGGTCACTGCTGCCTGGAAGGCATTTTCTTATGGATTTTTATGCTATGAATGCACACACTCTTCTGAAGTGGACGCTAGTGGATTAGACAATACACAACTAGCCATCCACTGCAAGAGCAAGACATTTTTTTGTTCAATCCAATATGGCAGACAAGCGAAAAATCATGCCGACCAACCCAGTCCTCCTTCTACTGGAGAGGACTATTGCAGGTAAAAAAAAAAAAAGAAAAAAAGGAAATAATGTGATATTGTTAAGCAATTCTTAAAGAACAATACTACTGATGTAGTCAAATAACTTTGTATTTGGGGAAAATTACAATTGATCACCTAGAAAAAAAACTCTTTTTTTTCCCACAAAATCTTTTTCCTACCTTCTTTTAGACCTTAAGAGAGTCAAAAACACTTTGGAAAAAAAAATCATGGCATAAAAGATAATTTATGCATAAAAATGGCAGGTCCACTTAGAAAAAAAAGCTATCTACAAAAAGAGGTGATTTTTTTAATGTTTATATTATATTTTAAAAAATCATTGTTTGTACATGAGTAACAATATTGTAGGATAATTCTTGTCTCTCCGTTTACACCATCTGTGTTTTCTAATGTGTCAGTCATGGATGAAAGGGGGGGAAAAGTGAGCTGGGTAATGAAGGGAGGGTTAAACATCATGTGGAAACTCACAAGGTTAGAGTGACTACAAGTGGAAGTTTTTCCGCTTAACCTCAGCCCTGAGAGGAGATGATTTTTGTTGCACAGAGTGTTTTCCGAATGCAGTAATAAAGGTTTCAACTGTGAACGTTTATAAATCTCTTGATCGTTGGATTTGTAAGGCTTGAGCTGATATCCCTTCATTTACTTTCTTTTTTATTGAACTGTGTACTATACTCCTTTCTTTTTGAGCACCACTTTTTTGAACAGCTTAATGACATTAAACATGAATTTAATAAATTGAATTTAGAAATTAGATACAAAAGAGGTTGTAACCAATTTTACCAGCTTTTATCTGTCTGTTCAGTTGTTTGCAGGTTCATTTTAGTCCAACTTTTTTTTTTTATCCAGGGTTTCCCCCCCGGAAAACTTCCTAAACCCGCTGCTTGGGCTGCAAAAGGAGTCTTTCAGCCGGCCGCCATGTTTTTGAGTCAAATTTTATTTTAAAGTTGCCAGAAAATTTGAACATGTTACTTGATAGTTATGCATTTTTGGAAGACTGGAAGATTAATACCAATTATGAAGCCTTAAAAAAAGGCACTAATTTAAAAAAAAAACCTAAGATAAATTAAAAATGCTAAGCCTGGCGGCCCGCCAGGCTTGTAATACACTGAGAAAAACCCTGACATTAATTTGATATTTCATTCTGTACTGATGTTTGACAGCAACAGATACTTTTTACGAGACAGTACTAATATGAAGCTGCACTGTGAGGCGCATAAGGTTGGGAAAAACAACATTTGAAAATACACCGCTTTGTAATTGATCTGTAAAGACAAATTGAATTCAAGCCTTCAATAAACTCACATCTTCCTTTTGGCGAGACTTAAATTAATTCAGTTTGTTGCATATTTCTGGCTTTCAAAACTTCACTCTTGATCTTAAGCATCTTTAATTCAGCGTTTCCAGTCCATTTCTCCATCACTTGTTTAAAATCTTACATTTTTTTGGACCCTTTCTCACAAGTTTATGAAGTTTGTAAGAAATTTGCAAAATAAAAATAAAAAATAACAGTGAACTCCAAAACCTCGAGTCTTTCCTCTCGTCAGCATTAAACCCACAGACACACCATCAGCAAGTATAGGAACAAATTTATTTCAATTTAAAACAGATATCTTGTCATTATGTTTCTCTCTTAGAAGGCGACAATGATCATAAGTCATGTTCATGTTTGAATGAGGATCAGGCAACAGTGGTTGAAACAAATACATGAAAAATAAAAAATATGGCAAGAGTTATTGTAAATCAATTATAACCAACTGATTGAACCCTGTTCAACAGAAGGGCTCTACTTCAGTGAAAAACATCCAAGCCCTCACTTTCAACACAAAAACAAACACCACATGCAGATATAATTACAGTTTCTTTTAAAATATGAACAAAAAAACAAAAAACAGAGCAGATTATCTTTCAAATCAATCTTAAATACAGAATAAGATCTTTGTGTGTTCATAATTATCACTTTAGTCTCTGGTTTGTTTTACAAAGGGGAGGCCCCTCGGCCCCCCGTCTCTAATGGTGGCCCTTCTGATGGCGACCACATCATTGGCACTTAGAGAGAGCCTGGCTCTGGAGAGTGGGGTTGGCACACTCAGAATAATACATCATTTACATGTTGGTTCGGATATAAAATAAAAAAGAAAAAAAAAATCACATTTTATTCAAACCACTACATGATTGAAATTCAGCTTTTATTGGAGTGAGGAAACCAAAGTAAATGAAGTGGTCCAAAAAAAGAAGAAAAAAAAAACTGTTCAGGAATCGTTTACATTACATAATAAAACGAGGAACAAGCTTTGGGCTGAGTGTCCAACTCTATAAAGATGTATAAGAGATAAGTCTGACTCCCTTAGTTTAACAGCAAGTTTACAGAAACGTTGTAAAGGGCCATCTCTCTTAACTCAAGGCAATAAATAAGTAATGTAGTGTGAAAGGAGAATAATAAAACATGGTCATGAGTGATGGGAGACTGAACTGCATCCCTCTTCACTGCTTGGTTATGTTGAAATAATTACATTTCCAAAACAGAAAGGGAAAATGAGACCGCTAACTCGAGCGCACCCACACCAGCAGACACCTGGCCCTTCACCGCGTGTCAGGGTTGTAGAGTCAAGTTGGCAAATTCATGGCCGGAAACCGTTTGGGTGAGCTGCGCTCTGCAAAAAGTAGAACTAACACTACTGATAAAACACTTGGTTATGCATACTGGCATCCTGATCCTCTCTACATGACAGCAGTCACAGCAGCAGTCACTCCTCGGCGTGAGGTTCGTGTCATTTTCAGCAGAGAAAATGGCAATGCCATACTGGTGCACTGTTGCATATTTTAAGCCTGATTACATCGGAAAGTGGCTCCTCCCGTCTTTTGCTTTACCGGGAAGATGGCTGAAGGATTATAAACATCAGGTTCTGTTGAAGCGTTTTAATTCATCAAAATCTTACCCGCAGAAAATAACTCCTAGAAGATTCATTTCGTGTAAATCTCAAGATTATGGTTAGTCCGAAAAGAACAAAGACCACAGTGGACTTCCACGGTATTTGTGATGAATGCAAACTATTTTATGAACATTTAAATCATCAGCATCATCATCATCATGTAAGCGTTTGCTGGCCATTTAAGCAGAAGCCGATTACTTGCTTGGGAAATCTGAGGTGGCAGGCAGTGTGCCACTAATATGCTTCCTGTGTGAAATATGAACTGAGAACAAAACATGTGAAGCATTTCCAGTCAGAAAACTAATGCAGTGGAAAAATTAGACCAGTGTTCACTTGACCTGTTTCTTTTTTCTTTTTGCTTCATACCATAATACCACTATGACTAAAAACACTTTACTTGTTCTGTTCTCAGTAAACGATCAGTGCCAGCGCACTGCCTCCAAGCTCCATTTCTAGTATCCCCGTGTCAATAAGGGACACTAGAAATGCAAGTAATGCAATAACGTTTGCATAAAGCTACTGCCGTTTTGATGCCAACACGATACAAATCCGGTGACAACTCGTCTGAATTCAAACTAAATCAAAACACCATCTTGAAAACGACGAATAAGGAACCCAGATATTGTTTCCAACAATAAAAGAATAACAATAATAAATATTTTCATTATTATCACTATTCAACCTCCTTTAGCTGCCATAAAAGCAGAAATGCACACAGGTTACAATATGCAACGACACCAGTATGGTCTTCATAACATCTCTTGGCTTACTAGTTACAACTCAAATACTTGGGGAGATCATGCAATACTTGTCCTGGTAGTAGTAGCAGTAGTAGTAGTAGTGTCCGTACTGATAAGCACCTCAACACTCCATGATGGGATTACAAGCAACACTGCGATACGGATGCAAACAGAAATGTGGTGAGAAACCAGAGGAAATACTTAAAGAAAGCGTCTTAAGTGTTGGTAAAAATGCTCTACTCGCACACATACACGCACCTTACAATTGTGTTAACACTCTGCCTTACTTCTTAATAGCACAGACAGCAAATAATCTCTTTCTAAACAAGTAGTAGTAGTAATAGTGGATGACTTGGTTCACTGTGGTCCTTTACTCCACTCCCCGCTGTCGGATGCACTGTGATATAGCCCTTAATGAGGATGAAGGGTAAATCACTTGTAGAAAAGGTCGTGTATGAGACCAAAAGAAAGTATATATATATACATATATATATATATCTGCACTTCACTGGCACTATTCAAAGCAAGCCTCCAAAAACTGGAAATAAAAGCAAACAAACAAAAACAACAAAAATAAAATAAAACGTTTTTTATCTTTTGTTAAGTTACAAATAGCAAGCATGGACCTCAGAGGTCTTCAATCACTGATAAAAAAAAGTCCACCTATTTTTGTACTGTACATTTTTCTAGGTATGTATTACAGCGCTGCATCTATAACCCAACGGAAAAAAAAATGTAATTAAAAAATATGAAAAAAGAAACGTGAGGACTCCCTAAGATATAAGAAAAAAAACAAACAGCATTATTATGGATGGAAATGTGATGGCAAGTACATCTGGAAATGTCTAATAGAAATAGAAAGCAGAGATAAAGTTCTTACTATACCAGACATTCGTTTTTTTTTTTTTTTTTTGTGGGGGTTTTTTTGTGTCGTTTTGTAAATTTTTTTTTTTTTTTTAACAGCAGTTCAGACTCAAGTTAGGCTCTGCCATGAGAAAAGGAGCCCTTTAACATGACAGAAACACGAGCAGTCAAATTATCAACACCTTCATCCTGGTCCATAAATTATATAAATAAAAAAATCTTTAATTACTCTCAAAATCATCCTTTCACCTTAACCGTGAAGATTTTTTTTTTCTTTTTAGTTGAACCAGCCCTAGTTAGTTTTACTCTGAACACAGAGCTGTTGCAGTAGTGTGGCGTTCAGAGGCTGTCTTTTTCTCCGACTCCCCCCCACAACCCCACTTCATTTCCTCAACACCATGCGGCTCTTTGAAATTCTATCAATCAAGTGAACATAATTCATAATCACAGTATCAATACTACCATAAATTCATAGGAGAAAACTGTATGCTAAAGAAAGTCTTTTTTTTTTCCTTTTTTTTCTTTTCAAAAACCAAAGATGGTGTACCACAGAGCACTTGTTTTGTACAGAAGAGTTTTGTGTATATGTATTTACAAATATACACAAAAAATTTGCAGACTGCAGAGTATTTTCTGTGAAAGGCGCGTCTTCCTACCTTTCCCCATAATTTAATTGCTCAACAAAACCCAACATAAAAACAAAATATAAGAAGCGCGTCCTGACACCAGTGATAGCCGCGTCGCGCCAGGAACTGTGACGTCGTCGGACATGTTGCGTTTCTGGCCGATTTAGCTACTCGCAGATCGAATCTGTGAATGAGAGTGCAAATTTTCCAATGCGGGGTCCTTCGCCCCCGCCGCGAGACTAGTGTTTTGTACTGAGGGAGGGGTTTCGCGTGCTGCGTCATGTGGAAGATTGTCCCTGTAAATTCATACAGAATACGTTTTGCAGGAGGGAAGCGTGTGATTAACTTAAACTTAGAAAAAAATATTTTATATCTCCAAAGGATACTTACGTCAAATAAGTTGCTTTTTTAAAAATCTTGCAAAAATTTTTTTATACGCTTTCTGCTTTCATGCCCACTTGACTCAGCCTGTGTAGTGTTAGTGTTTAAATCAGTAAAAATCAGCTAAAAAAAAAATTCTGCAACATATTTTCAACGGATAAATATGCATTAAATTCATAATATACATTTCTCTCTTTTTGCGATTGCGATGCTCACACCTGGGGTACATTCATGGATGCGAGGCGATGACAGAATCCTCCAGTCCGTCCCTTTGTTTGGTGCGCGACCTCACATCCGGACCGCGTCGCTCTGGAGCATGTCTGTGTTCAGCACCGCTGGTTCTCAGATGATATCACCAGATAAGTCAGTCAGTGCCTTGCACACTGGCAGGAAAGGAGACAGGGTCGACACTGCGGGGCCCTAAGATTACTGTTTTCTTTTTGTTTTGTTTTTTTCTCCATCGAAATCCATTGCCAATAAAAACTGCCCCATATACAAATGCCAAAGAAAAAAAAAAAATCCCTTCCGGTCGCCGCCGCAGAGCCCGTCTGAAAGGTTTGTATGCCAAGCTCTGACACACGGAGCAGCTTTTTAAGGGCCGAAGACTGATGCGACAAGCTGCCGAGAGAAGGAGGAGGAGGACGGAGTGGCTTTGGTGAAAGAAGGGGCACGATTCAAATGCACACCGTACTGGACAGAAAAAAAAAAAAATGTTAAAAATTAAAAAAGCAACAGTTCTGTTTGTGTGTGAATGAGTGTGTGAGAGCCGGAGTGCTGCGCTGTGCGATGCGTGTGGGGTTGACGGGACGATCCCGAAGAGGGGTGCGGTTTGTGCAATGGGTGAGGGGGTGGAGAAGTGTGTTGTGAACACTGTCCCCAGCCCTCTCACACCAAGTTGTACTCTTTCAGGTTGAGCTGTAGGATGGTGTCCTTGACGGCCGCAAACACAAAGCGGATGTTCTCAGTGTCCGTGGCACAGGTGAAGTGGGAGTAGATGATCTTGTCGCTGTCTGGGTTCAAGTCCACAAACATTTTGAGGATGAACTCCCGCGCTGCCTGGGCGTCTCTCTGGGGACCTGCAAATGGAGGGACGGGTAATGAGAATGTTTTGTTTTCACCAACACACAAGGTGACTTCTGAAGATTAATCTCATCATTCAGTCGGCAAACAGCAAGCCCTGTTTTTTTTGATAGGGTGTGAAGTGGAGAGAAATGCATGTTTTTTCTATTGTCACTGTAAACAATGTCCATCAAGAGGAATCATCAAATGTAGAGACGGAGCTAACTGGCAATAAATTGACACTTTAGCCACGATGAACACAAAAATCTAGCAAGAGTATTTTAGCAGCTAGTTAGTAGCAGCTGCAACCACTTCGAGGTGACTAAAATGTTTGCCTGATAGAAAAGTCCCACAAAACAAAAAAACAAACAAAAAAAAACACTACATATGAGATTAAGTTGTCCTTCAACAACATAATTTAAGACGTGTGATTAATGTATTAAGGCCAACTTACAATTTTTTTAAAAATACATTTAAAACATTTTAAGGCATTCATTTTAGATACATAAATGTAAGACTTTTCAAGGATGCAAAGACAATGTAGAAGACGCTCCATTTTACAATGTAATGGCCTCAAGACATGTAAAAAGTGTTTTGGTGTAATTAGACCAAATTTGAAGATTACAGCCTACACAAAGTGTTTTTTGTGGAAGAATTTCAGCACTGCACACTACCTTTAACCACCTTATACATGGTGGGGACGTACTATGCGGATGCTTTTCTGCAGGAGGGAGACAGAAGCTGATCATAGTCGGATTGATGGAGTCAAGTTCAGGTTAGATCTTTGCTAATTTGTAGAAAACAAATTGGCAATGGGTGGGTTTGAAACACCCACGCGGGTTTGTTGGAGCGCCAAACAATTTCTAGAAATGTGTTTACTGTTCACAACTAAAAGGTTTTCAACGCAAGATCTGCATAAGAAACAGCCCCTAACTCAATGCTTTGGTGAATAGCACACGCCTCCAAATTGCACCAAGACTCATTTAACACAAAAGCTGTGGCATTTTATAAATCGAAACCTAACAGGATTTAAAGGTTCAGTACGTCTAGCTCACTGTGACTTGGAAATGGCACAGAGGATCATTTTGGATACCAGGAACTTGAGGAAAAACTTATTTGATGAAAAATCAGCATGAAAGCGTTAACATTTCCATCTCACTGATGGTGGTTTTCCATATTTACATTAAAACCATTGTTCAGTCTAAATCTTGCGCGCAGGAGCTCTTTGGGAGACACTTCTGTTGTTATAGTTTGGTTTGAAATTTTAACGCACCATCAAATTCAGGGAAGTAGTCCACCAAGTGCGAATAAGCAATTTTCTCCTCTAATAGATCCTTCTTGTTGAGGAAGAGGATGACTGAAGAGTTTTGAAACCAGGGATAGGTGATGATTGTCCTGAACAGAGCCTTGCTCTCCTCCATGCGGTTCTGATACAGAAAAAAAAAAGGGATGAAAAGACTCAACACCGTCACAATTTTTGCGAGAAAAATAAACAGAACTCCGCATGGCCGAGCAATGACAACTTAAAAAGCATTCAAAGTTTGATCTTCTTCTTAAGTTCACACAGGCCAACAAAAGCAATCAGTTTATTCTTCCTGGCTTACCTCGTTGTCGGACTCCACCAGGACCTGGTCGTACTCACTCAGAGCCACAAGAAACATAATGGAGGTGACGTTCTCAAAGCAGTGAATCCACTTCCTCCGCTCTGACCTCTGACCCCCGACATCCACCATCCTGGCGGTAAGACGAGGAGGAGGGAGGACACGTCAGAGAAATTTGTCGCAATTCGAGCCTCGTGGGGCTCAAATGTAACAGTAAATATTTTTAAGACTTTAGGCTGAGAGTGCTCAGGCAAATCGGAAGAATTTATTTTAGGCGGAATATTTTTTGTTTTGCAGACGACTGTTTTGAATCCATCACAGTGCATTTGATGCTATGCGAGGACATAAAAACACCAAAACAACAAGTAGACAGATCAGTCGTTCTTTCTGGTTATAATGAGCCCTGGGCTATCTGTAACTGGTCAACTGATTATCTGACTGAGCAAGATTTCGGCTTTTCCATTTAATGACATATTAATTGTTTTCCTTTTTGGCTTTCTCGAGATGTTTGGCTGATGTTCTTTCTCCATAATAATACATATAAAATCATTTTCCCATCATGTTCTCTTTATGATGTCCTTTACATTTATTGCATCTTGGCAGTATTTCCAGTGTTTGACTTAAATAAAATGCACGCCTCATCCAAAAATGAACAAAATGTTTTTAACTCCGTTGCATTTTTATTCTCTTTACAGTGATGTAAACAAATGCACTTGATGGATTCAAAACCTTGATAAAATGTTATCAAATGTAAACAATCTTCCCCTTGTGAGTGTTAAAATGTAATGCAGATTTCCTTACACATCTGCACCCAAAAAGTAAGATTTAACAACAGTTGCCAGTCTGCGTTAGAGGAATGTCGTTCATCTCACAAAATTGAAATTTCACAGCTATGTTTCAAATGATCACTGGATGAAAATGCGCTGTTGCTTTGAGGTAAAACTGCACCACTCAATCTGCAGGGAATCAAACTGTTTCACATTTCAATAGTATAATAATATGAATAAGTACAAATAGTGTGTTAACTTGGAAAAAAGCAAGTGACCTAAAGACCGAATGACTGGGTTGGTGACAGCAACTACCTTCAACCGTTTGCAATAACTGGCAATACGTCTTTTTTTTTTGGGCCGTTTCCGGCCTTTCAGACACACCGTCTGTCTACATCTGGCAGTGCAGATTTGCTCTACAAAGCAGATATCTAACGCAGGCATCTTAAGTGTGTTGACTTTATTAAACATGTGCTTGCATGACCTCCAGCCATTTAGATTACTTGCATATTGGTGCACGTGTGTCTGCATGACTCACAGGCAATAAGTATTTTGTGTGTCTGTGGAAAAATACCAGTCAGATGAATATTTAAACTGTGACCAGGCCACTCCAATCCCTTCATTTTGGTTCTTAAAAGTTTCTTTTTAGCCATTTATTGATGTAATTTCTGTTGTCATGAAGTAAGTGTATTTACTAAGGTTATGTTTGAATCTAAAATCTTTTCAGAGGACAAAATAAATAAATCTGTAAGGAGGCTACTTTTCAGGGGATTGCATACCAACTCTTTGGTATTCTTATTTAGTTAATCAAAATGCAACTTAATCATTGAAACATAACTGGACGTTTCACAGTGTTATTTTGGTTTCTTAAAATGAGCGGCATTCCTTCAGATCCGTGCACTAGGGTTAAATTGTATATGAATATCTTGTATGTATGCAAGTTTGCATGAGCTCTTGGGAATTTGGACATCAAGGTGATTCAGTTTCAAACCAGGTTTGTCAACTTGTTCCACAACATCAATTGTCAAGTTTCAGAACATGCATGGAAATGAAAAGTGAGCGAGTAAAAGATGTGGCACGAGGAGCCGAAAAGTGGGACACGGGAAGGATGGAGGACAGACAGAGGACAGGGAGACTTAATAGTCTGGTGAAAGAAAGAGGGAGCCAGAGGTGTGCCGGAAAAGTTGATATCGAGAACATGCAGCAAGTGGCTGATCACTGCCATGCACACAGAAAACATGAGTTTTTTCAAGGTCTCCCAATGCTTCCCTCGACAGTGTCACCCACTGCTCATTTTAATGAACCCTAATTTGTAAAAAAAAAAAAAAAAAAAAAGGAAAAGAAAAATAGAAAAAAAAAAAAAAAAGAAAAGATCCAGTCAGATCCTTTAGGAAACCGCTAATGCAGAAAAAAAAATGCCTGCATTGCAATTAAACGTTTCCCTTTGTGAGCTGGTGCTCCTCCTGATTCGCAGGTGCATCGGCGCCCTCTGGTGGTGGCCCAGTCCACTGTGGTCCACAGAGACCCAGGGCCAATATAGGCCCTGCAGGACCTGCTGCCCAAAATAACATTCCTCCACAGCAGAGAGGACGACCTCGTTTCTTATGACGGCCGGGGAGGAAAAGAGGAGGAAAAATAAAACCCAAAGAGAGAGAGAAAGAGGAGGCGACCCATTTAGAAAGACCGGGTGGCAGAATGTAGGACTTTGTGTTCATTTGCTGTTGTGTTTTATGTGCAGTCGGATTCTTCTTGGTGGCAGCAGGTGACACTAAATTAGCAAGGACTTCAGTTTCATGATCGCATGGAAGAGTTTAGAAAAGCACAGGATAGGAGTGGACATAGAGAAAGTGTATTTTTTATTAATGGAGATGGATGAAAGATGTTTTAAGGGGCCAATGGGCAAAGAAAATCAAACGATTAAATGGATATGATGGGGGGAAAAAAAACCCACTTGAGGTTGGGCCTTTTTCTACCTGAAAATGATGCTTTGCAAGTCGAAGGGGTACTCTATGATTCCTGTAGTGGGGATGCGCACTCTGAGTACATCCTGCTGAGTGGGAAGATAGCTGGGATCGGCAATACGATCCAGATCCGAAAGATAACTACGAGAAGGCCAATCAGGAAACAGGGGAGGAAAAAAACAAAAAAACAAAGAGGGAGAAAAAAAAAAGACAGACAGGAAAACAGTTACATAAAGCGTGACAGGCAATTATCGCAAACCGCTACAATTCCAGGAAAGCGCTGATCAGTCCTGTAGAAAAAGCTTCACAGGGAAAAAAAAAAAAAAAAAGAGAACACATCACAGAAACAAAGGACTGTTAGTCTGTGCCACTCCTCCAACAGTACTCTTTCCAGAAACCAAGAATATGCCCAAAGTTTAACAGCAGTAGCAGCAGCTTTTTAAAGCAAAAACAACATCTGGAGTCAAGTTACTGATGGGTTATGGCTCAGACAGTGAGATGGTGTCAGTGACTGCAGCAGCATTTGGGCCACATAAAGAAGGACTGGGCATGTATGGAAACAAGATCCATGTAAAAAAGAGACAGGAAATGTGTCATTTTGATGTCAAATTATGAGTTTTGTTTTTTTTCTTTTTGCGATTCAGTTCCACACATCATGATTTCCTGTGGAACCCTTCATATCCCTGTCCAGTCCGTCTTTATCTGGGATTTTGTGGCTGCTCCCTACACGCTTCAGTGCAGCGAGGTCTGGCCTCAGGCCAACACCTGAGGCCAACATTCGAAACACAAACCACTGATATCTAATCAGACTAAATGCATCAGCTACCATCCACATCCATAAGACAACTTGGTTTGGTCTGATCTATAACCTGGAGTCGCTTCACAGATTTTGAATTTGTGTTGCAAAGCCGTACAGAAAGAGATGCACCGAGGAAACTGCTGGTGGCCGGAAACAGACGATATCATGTTTGATTGAACCCAAGTGGGGTCTGGCAAGTTGGGACACCCAAATCTGATCTTCTGAATGCGTCAGGTACCACTAGCAGATTTTAAGGTACGTTATCCTCAAAACTGTGCAAATTGGAGTGAAGAAAATAAATCTGTTTAGAGGAAACCCACCAACGTTTTTCAAGGAAAAATGTTTGCATTACAATTACCGTGATTGGTGTTTTTCTCAAAACCGCAATAAAAGCACTTATTTGAGTCACGTGAGCTTGTATACAGCAGCACACTTATTTGTGGGAACTGGCCTCGTTGGACAATGAGCAGCCGCTCCCAAGTACGAAGGCCTTGTTGTTCAACGCCTGAATAAAATGTAGATTTCTCCTCTGATGGCTGATGAAGAGCAGCAGGCTGTAATATGAATCTCTCTAAAATGTTTACATCCATCACTGCCACAATTTTTAAAGGTGCACAAGTGTACAAGCTTATACACCTTTGATTTTATTTTCATTTCTTATTAAATAGAAACACCACTAATGCGAAATAGTGTTTTGTTGACATCAGCGGAATATGGGAAAAGTTTTGCACGCAACTGTAATGGAAACGTAGCTACTGACACTCTTCAGTGTTGAAGCCTTCACCGAGGAAGAAAAACTCTGAGTTAGCCATACAAGACCGTTTATTCCCATTTGCCAGTAAAAAGCTGAAATCAAAACGTAGCAGATATTTAAGCTAACGACTTCTAGATCCGGCTTTTACAAAATGACAAAACCATTGACGTGAATGCTGCCCTTACAGTGGGTACTCCGGTGGGTCCCTGCTCTATCCCAAAGTGGTCACAGACCGCCCCGTGATTAGACAGCCGTCCCTCCCAGCTGCAGTCGGACAAAGAGAGCGTACCCTCCAAATCCAGACTGCAAATAAAACTCAAAAACTGATCTTGGCAGGAATATTGTCGTAGGCTCACTCTACAAACATTGAAATTACCCCAGATCCTAAAAAACAGTGAAATGAAATCTACTGTCAGATTGTATTTTGGGTCACTTTTGTCGGCTACAAGAAAAAGGAGCAGGAAACGAATTGCAATAAAGTTATTAAAATATACACGAAGCTGTACAGGAAAAAAAAGTGTAGTTGTAAACATTTTTATGGCGATCTAATATTCCCTCTTAATCTCGACTGACATTATTCCTTATTCCTCTCCCACAGGGTGCATTACATTTGCATGGACACTGTTAATTATGTAAATTGAGCCGTGACAACATTCACTGATTTTCAGACTTTCAGGACATTCAGAATTTCAGCAGAACACAGGAAAGCAGAACGGAGCGCGGTGAAGTCGCTCCATTTATCCTTTTGAGTGTTCACACCGCCATCTGTCATGTATTTGGAAACGTTGGCAGCCTTGTGGAAATCATTCGCTTGAGGTAAGCATCCAATTTCCTAAAATATACACACACAGACTCCCGTTTCTGTAACGCTAGCCCCGCAAACCGCCAATACACAATTCGAGAGACAGTTTAGTGTGTCGATTGATCATTTTGCCTGTTGTAGCAATAAAACGTTGGCTTTAGACTGACTGCTGGCTTATAGGAAGCCATGTCACTTCTGGTCCTAATGCACATAATTGAAATTTCAGATTTCATAATTAACGAACATTAATTAGCAGGTGAAAAACCCCAAAGTTTTAATATTGGCCACAAAAGTCTGATCAGTGCATCTCTGCGTACTTGTAATGTTCTCGTTTTTGATGGGGAGAGCAGGACAAACGTCTGCTCTTTCAGCTTTCTCATCTCTACTCTGATTCTCATCAGTGGTTTATGTTGTCAAGCCCCGGTGATGCTGCGGTCCTGGTGCTTTTGGGGATACCTGAAGATGACGTTCTCCAGGTCAAAGGGGTACTCTATAATACCCGTGGTGGGAACACGGACCCTCAGCACATCCTGCTGGGTGGGAACGTATCCCTCCGCAGTCACACGGTCTATATCGCTAAGATAACTGGAGATATACATGAACAGTGTGGATAATTGTGAAATGAAGACAAATATGATGACTGACTCATATGCTTTCTCTCTTTCTCTCTCTCTCACACACACACACACACACACACACACACACACACACACACACACAAATAGAGAATAAAACATTTAAGATGCAAACACACCTGCGAACCAGCCTGAATATAAAATCAGATGTAATACAGCTAAACCACAACCAGGGGGCACTATAAAGTGACTCAACTCCCCCTGGTTGTATACCCTGGGGTCACATCCAGTGTAAGTTTACACTGCAGTACACCGAGTAGTATGGTTCAGAAATGTAAACCTTTAAATATAGAATCATATGTATACATTTATCTCTAATTATTTAATAAAATTTAGTAAAATAACCAGAAGGATGTGGATTGATATATTACAGAGAACCAGTGAGCTTGATTCAGAGTTTTCTGACCAGGCTCTGTGCCTTACCAACATTTTATCTTTATGGAAAATAAAATAAGAAATAACAAAAATCATTATTGGGTTTGGTCACTAGGCAGATTTAGACTACTTGGGAAGTAGACTAAATCTAATAATATTTACTTTAACGCTAAAGTAAATATTGGGTTTCTTCTATTGGGCAGAAAAGGCTCAACTATTAAAGGCACCGCTGATATCCTTAAGGTGCTGGCTGACTTTCTTAAATTATTGTCGTTTTAAATTTGGAAAAGCTTTTTAGTTTTCTTCAAACCCCAAATCATGATTTCTAGGATTAACTTTTGAGATTTTAGAATACAAGATTGAAAAACTTAAGTAGATTCAAATCCAGTATCACACAAAGCGCTTTTTTTTTCCCCTTAATCACAACCTTTTATGAGCCGACATGTCAGCTGTTGCACAGAAAGCAGCCGAAACAGCCATCATTAAATCTTATGAGATTCACAGCAGAAAAATTACAACTTTTTCTACCAATTTTGTCCATACACAAGTAAACGACTGTACTGCAATAATTTACAAACTGCATTATGAAGAAGTCCAAAGCAAGCATGTTGGCATTGGCCTGGCTCATTGTAAGCACTTCTAGCTCTACGTGTAAAATCCTACACAGTTTTACAATCTTCAGCTCCTGTTGGGACAAAATGTGTCACTGTCAAGAAAGACAAACACTGAAGCATCCAGAACATCACCGGTGGATGAACACAATCACAACACTCCATTGCACTTAAAGTGACTGAATTTTAAAGCACAAGTATCAATGCACATCCACACAGAAAGATGAGCACACGTACTATTTAGTGGAATCGGAGAGCTGGTATTCTCTGCGACGGTCGTAGGCCTCCTGGATTCCCGGGTCAGCCCACAGGGTTTTAATAGCTACGACATAGTGTTGATCAAACCCATTGATCTTCTCAATATCCACTTCCTTCACAAGCATGGCGTTGGCCTGGGAAGACACAGGTGCAAACAAAGAAACTGGGATTAAAAGAGGACAGTAAGAAATTCAACAGAGTAAATAAAAAAAAGTCTGAGCTATTTTAATAAATTTGAACTGAGGTTTTGCTATATGAAAAATTACTCCTACACGTTTTTCATTGAAAAGTCTCATATCTTTCCAGTGTCCAGACGCAAATTATTCAGCTTTTATGTCGCAATGAACACTTGAAATGGCTGACTTTGGACTCAGGTAGGGCTACTTTACCGTTTTTTAACATCTAGACACACTTGCATCATTTCAAATATACAAAACTTGGGACTCCTTCATACCCTATACAAGGACTGGGGGCTTCAAAACCAAAAAAGAAAGAAACATTGTGATGTTTTTTTAAGAGTGCATAAAATAAATTTGTAAACCTATAGATATGGATTTTGAAATACTAAAAAGGTAAATCAAGTCTCAAAAATTTTACTTGTCTAATTTTATTATCCAGACACCAAAAATGACTAAATCCATTTCCACACATTTCAAGACTGCGTAGGAACTGCTTATAAAGCCTTCCTCACCGTCTGCCTGGACCAAGCAGGAAAAACCTAACCACCCACCAGGTTTATGTCCTCCAAATATATTTTCGCCAGACGGATTTTAGCATAACTTTCAGTGCCAGAAGTTGGTTCAAGGTAAGACCTAAAACACGCCGTCTACCCACGTAGATTACCTTCAGAAAAAATGCTAGTTGATTGGAGTTTTAACTAAAAGGTCTGTCACTGGGAAGACATTTTGTAAGGGTTTTAAATTAAAATCATTTTGCTTATGTATGTAAGATACAGTGGTTTTTGTCACCAACTGTGTGTGTAATGTGTTTTGTGTGCTGAGGAGTGATCAAAAACGGCAGAGGACGAAACACGTTACACGCATAGCTGGTGACAAACACTGAGCTATAGATAAGCTACAGGATGGTCAATCAGTTTATATATTAAAAGTTTTTTTAACTATTTTATTGGTGGCGTACAGACAGGAGGAACTTGCTCTCATCGAGATGCAGCCAGTGCCAATCACATTTCTTATTCTTATCCATTCAAAAAAAAATAGATAAAAATCCATACAAGATTTTATTCTATAAATGCAATTAAATAGGTTTTACTTATGTAATAAAATGGGTTGTAAACTCCTATTTTATTCCATGAATAAAACATTGAATAAATACCGATTTATTCTATTTTTTTATGTTTAAAATAAAAATATCCTTTATTGTCCTATAATGGCAAAATTGGTGTAATGCAAGAAGAAGCACACATATTCAAACCAAGATAAAAACAAGCCATAAAAACAAAAATACTTATTTCTATTGTATTAAAGACCAAAGTATTTAGTTTCCTTCTATCAGTGGAAAAAAACCCAAAAACAAGCAAGAAGAGTAAAGAAAAAAAAAATATATATATATTATTTATATATTTTATTTTACTACCCTAAAGAAGTAAAATATATTTTTAAAACAGCTACTCTTCTTTCCTCAATATACAAAATCAAAGTAGACTTTTTGCATCCATTTTTTTCAGCAGCAGAATGCCTTCTTTAAGATGGCAGACAATACATTTTTCTTGCATGTGAAAGTAATTAAAAGAAATAACCAAACACTGAGATTTTCGGGCCAGCATTTACCCGGTTCTGTTCATATTTGTAGGGGATCTTGAGGTTCTCGGTGGCGCGGATCATGGCCTGCATGGAGGTGAAGATGTTTTGGTAAACAAGCCGGATGAAGCCCCGCTTGTCTTCATCCGAGTAGCCGGCTCCATGGATGATCCTCATCTGCTTGATGAAGGTGCTCTTGCCACTTTCTCCCGTGCCTGAACACAACGTGGAACAAAACAAAGACAAGAAGCAAAGTTACAAGGGAGGCACAATTGGGTCAGAAATGGAAGCACGGGCCGGAAGTGAATTGGTTTCTGTAGAAATCAACCAAATGTTTTAGAATTCCAGTTAATTGGCATAAGTAGAGAGCTAATAGTTAAAATATTGTGTAATGGGCACTAAATATTCAATTAGGGAAGTTGATATAATCTATATTACAACATCAACTCTCCACATAACCTGCACTCACCAAATAAAAAAAGGAAGGTTTTGTTTGATTTGGGTCAAATCTCCAACATCTATGATTTGATGGGTCATAAATTTAGAGTCTTTTTTTTTTTCAGCATTTCTTGCGTCACCCTGGCCAAGTAGTTCAGTTTCTCACAAAGTGTGAAGAGTCCAGAGGGAAATACAATATCTTCATCCTCCAGACATGCCAGATCCTCACACAGACCCATTCAATCAATTAGAAAATAGTTAAAAAGTTTATTTTAGTTACTCAATTCTTAAAGTCAAACACATCATATTGATTAATTACATACAGGCTGATGTTTGCAGGTTTGCAGGCTTTTTATTTCTGATGATTAAATCGATTGTCCACGTTCGTCTAATAAAAACACAATATTAGAATACGACTGTAGACCAATTAAATGAAACATTTTAACAAAGAAGTGTATGTGTAACACCTAATTATTGTCAAGAGTTCATTTTAATTTGGCAAACTAGGTTCATTGGAACACATATTCTATTTTATTGAATGTCTGTCTATAAAACCCGTTATATACCCATCATTGTTATGAACCAAATGATAAGTAAAGTTAAATCAAACCCAGTGCTTAATGTTGCTTAAGTTTACCAATTTCAAGGTAAGTCTGGTTGAATTCCAACCATCATCTAACCATTCATCATAGGGCAACACAGGACAAACATCCACGCACACACACAGCTAACAAGGCATCTTGTTGTACCCCTGACATTTTCCACACCCCTTGCAAGACTTGAAATGTTCATTTAAACCTACAAATCCTAAAAGATGCGTTGACGATCCAGCCAAAGGTGCAGTACTGTAATTCCACCACACTTTGCGCTATCTGAAAAATTCCAACGGTTTCTGAAAGGAGAGACGTGCGTTTTTTGGTCAATATCGGGTTATTACGGTAATTTCACTCCCGCTGTGGCAGGGAGTGAAATTAATCTGAGGGGCTCTCTTTTAATAGGGCCCACACCACAAATTCAAAATGTTAATTTTCACTTCCAGTCAGGAAAGAAACATTTTGGTCAAATTTCAGAATGGCTTTTAACCTATGAGATATTCAGCTACACAACTGTCATTTTCGACATAAAATATATTTATTTACTACAGCACTGTGGACATGAACGTTTTGTAGAGGTGCCGCTATTGCTGCAATCTATTGCATGAAGGAAGGCGTGGGCCAGCTACCAGTGGCAAGGTCCAACAGAGTTTTAATAAGTTACAGTTTCAAAACCATTAAAATATTGCATCAGATGATATCTACAGTTCAAAATCCTTTCAAAGAGATACCAGAAGCAGTGCCAGACATCTCCGGCTGTTAGCATAAAATAGCACAGAGCCTCCTGTCCTGGTCGCTGAAAGAAGGACATTCATTTTTATTTGCTTGTGAAAAGGAAAATTCAACTGTAAATACTTCAGGATGTAAAAATAACAAATTAAAGAGAATATGGCAGCATCATGGTGTGGGTTTATTATTGGTCACTTTATTTTCAATGAGCGATTAGCAGCATGAGTTTTAGTTAGCCAACAGCTTAATCTACATTTGCATCAAACAATAATAGTGAACATATCTATGATATTATTACAGCAGCGATAAAACTAATTATTGCTGTTCTGTTCACTTGTACCAAAAAGATACTCAGTGCAAATAGGCAGCAACAAATAGACTCTTCTTTAAAATGTCCAACCTAGTCAGATTTAGTTTTAAGGAAATTCCTTCTGTTAAATGCCAAGTTGATTAATCCGGTTATGATGACAAATATGTCAAAGCACCCTTGTCTGATGTCAGGAAGTAGTCCAACAGTTTGGTAAGTGACCAAATTAAAAAATACTTCTAGGAAGAAGACACAAGTGGAAACCGAGAGCTAACTGGATTATGATAATTAAGACAGCTAGCCTCATTTCCTGGATCCAACACTCAGCTACCGCTGTCTAAAAAGGTGACTGCAGAGGTTGCATTTCTTGAATGATCTCTCCTAAAATTTACATTTTTATCCACCATACCTGGTTGTAAAACAAACAAGTGACATTTTTTTCCCCTAGAAAAATGGGTTTAAGCTGTTCAAGATTCAACAGGCCCCATACTCTACATTTTGCCTGGGGCCATTTAAATAATACAAATGATGAAGAAGAAGAAAAACAAGTCAAGCTGATGGCATTTCAGTTCTTACTGAGATCAGAAAGGTTCCAGCACATCCATAATATCTGCAAAACTGAGAGAAGACAAGGTTGGGGAAAAAAAAAAAAAAAAGAAAGAAAAACACACACACTCTCATCTCACCACCACCTACATTCAAGGTTTTTGAAGAGCAGCCATATTTCTGTTACTATAGCAACCCCTCCTCTGTCTTCCTCGCTTTTTCGTTCCTGCATTTTTTTTTTTTTGCTTCTTTTTTTAAACCCCTCCCATCCGCCCCTACTCTCTCCTCTCTTTCGTTGCAGACAGCAAATATAACCGAGAGCCCCTCAGGCTCGCTCTGTGCTCTTCATCTTCTGATGCACCAGAGAACAAGAAGAAGAAGAAGAAGAAGAAGAATGGGCCCCGAGTTACAATCCAATGAGATGTTAAGAGGATGGGAGGGGCGGCGCTGAGATCAGCGGTATCCATGTTCGCGCAAGAATATGTACTTTGTATCCCCTAAAACTCAAAGTTGGGCCTTCGAGTCCCTCTCTGTAGTAGCAGCAAGTGACTCCTCCTCCAACAATCAATGCACAGCAGTAAAGGCTAACCACTGATGTTTATTAGTACTGTTATTAGCCAACCAAACATGGAGGAAATATAAAAAAGTCAAATACAGTGTGGCATTGGCTGCATCCTGCTTCTGCAGACGAGCAACAGGATCACTCCTCAACTTACTGTCTGATTTATTTCTCGTGACCCCGTCACAAGATCTCCCTCCGCAGCGTTCTCGTAAACGTCGTGTCCCCCTTTGACCAGAGAGCACACTGCGCGCCTCTGTCTTCCCGGTTTCCTCCCCACGCCGCACCAGCCGCAACCACTTCCATGCCCTTACCAACTCGCTACCCTTACAAATCCACACCACCACGCCCCAAACCCCCCCCCCCCGGCCCCCGACCTCCTGCTCCATTTCATCTCAACCCCTCTTAACCTCCCCGAGGCAAGAAATATGCCTCTCCATTCTCATCCCTCTCCGTCAAGAATTTTGGATATTCATAACTAGAATCAATCCATTTTTTTTTTTGGTGATGACCCAGAAAAAGGAGGTCACCTTTTAATAGCTCAAACACTACTTTGGCTTGATAACGCCTTCTGTTCCGAGCAGCCAGGAGTGTGAGGGAAGAGAGGGAAAAAAAAAAAAAAAAAAGGAGAGAGAGAGAGAGAAAGCTGAGATTATGTCCCAATGCAACGGTGCAAGGTACATAGCACAGCCCACACACCAACACCAGTCTTTTGTGAAGCTACAGCGTTTCCTGAATCACATAGACGTGGATGAAAGCAAAGGTTTCTATTATCATTCGCTCCAAGTACCCAAATGTACTTGACCAAAGGAGTTGGTCAAAGAAGAACTGCATTACAGTAATCCATGATGGAGCAGGTTCTGAACACCTGGACCCTCTACTAGGACGCTGACTTTCATAAGTCTTTACATAACTACCTTTCAGTTATGAATAATACCTGGTAGAAGTCACACAGTGGTACCAAATACTGTGTTTTAGATTAATTAATGTCTGGAGAAACCTTTTTTACCTCCCCCACACACACCTCAGATACTACGGGTGTGATGTTTAGGCCCAAGGCAGATCCTGGTACCAAGGAATACAGAGGGGTTAACTCAATACATGTTTTCATTGTACCACTCCTAAGCTTTAAAGTCAATCTAATGAGAGGTTTTTCTGGCTGTATCAATCACGATCAGATGTTGAATGCTTTGCTTGGCCATCGATAGAAAGATTGCATAAGCTTCATATGGCAACCCTGGTAGTTAATACAACTCCACATTCAAATAAAAAAAAAAACAAGGGTACAATTTTTACTGACAGGCCTTTCAAAAACGATAGATTTACTTTTTATGTTCCATTTAAATATTGTGTGTGGGCAAAACAAGTTTTTGTAACTTTAATTAAAAAAAATAATTTCTTTGCCTGAAAAAAATTCAAGAATTTGTAACTACACCTGTCATTGTTCTCAACGACAGCCAAATTACTTTCTTTTTTTTTTTTAAATGAAGAGGAAAAATGTCTATGTCAATACCAACTCAGACTAAATTTTTTCTGTTCAAGGTCGGCAAAGATTGCCAAATCATTTCCACAATTTGTCAGCAGCACAGGTCCATTTCTGGGACACAGAACCAGTCTCTCGGTATTTTTTTTTTTCAAGTTCTTTTCTTTTAAATAGGCTCTATTAGCCTTTATTTGACAGTGAAAGGTTGTCGCGCCAGGTCTAGAACTGGAAACCGCTGCTTCTATGATGGCCTCCGTATATGAGTTGCGTGCTCTACCTTACTCCACCAAAAGATGCTCTGCAAGCCCAAAAAACAAAGAGGAGAAAAGAAAAATTGACTTTTCTCTAAATCTGAAGTTATGTTCCAAAGAAAAATATAGACAGGGGTCAACTGCAACTGATTTTAACCATTTTGTTTTAATGTAAAGGGACTACTACTTCAATGAGTTAGTAGTTTTAAGTATGTGGTTATAATGAAAGTTCTCTCATATGGCACAGCAACTGGTTAATCCCAAATAAAACAGAATTCACTGATGAGAAATCTTGTGGCGAGTTAATAT